TTTTTTTTTTTTGTCTTTTTTGAGACAGGGTCTTCCTGTAGCTCCAGCTGGCCTAGAATTCACTATGTAGACCAGACTGGCCTTGAACTCACAGAGATCCACCTGTCTCTGCCTCCCCAGTACTGGGATTAAAGCCGTGCGCCATTACGCCCAGCTCATTTTTCAAATTAACTGAAAAATTTTGTTTTCCTGTAATATGTCTAGATTTCCAACAAAAAATAGTAAGTTAACCTTTGAAACAAATTTAATCTGCCTCCCCAGTAATTTTAAATAATCTATGAGTGGAAAGCCTCCATGATTTTTAGCTCTGTGTAAAGTTTTCATTTTTCACATTAGAATGCTTGCTAATGTTAAGATTTAAGGCAAAATGATGCTAATCTTTTTTTTTTAAATATATAAATGATTTCTTCAAACAGATTTCAAGTTATTCAAGACCTTGTCAAATCACTGTCAGCTTTTCCTCTGAGCCATTTTGTTGGCTATGTGCTTATATTTACTTTGGGAATTGAACTATTAGTAAGTAATTTGTCAGATTAAATTGCACATTTGAATTTTTATGTAACTAGCCTTAAGTAACCTTGCTCTTACTTTCTTTGGAATGTATCACCAGGTTCTCAGTTTCTTCTACCGCTACATGCTGACAGCTGGACTGATTGCATTTGCGGCTTGGCCGTTTCTCACTCAGCTGTGGACCCGAGCAAAGGTATCAGTACTTCTGTTGACATAGGACAGAACTAATAATTATTTTGTTTTGACATATGTTAAACTTAAAGAGTTGTGGGGGCTGGAGAGATGGCTCAGTGGTTAAGAACACTGGTTGTTCTTGCTGGGTTCGAATCCCAGCACCCACATGGCAGCTAACAACTGTCCGTAATTCCAGTCCCAGGGGATCTGACAGCCTCTTCTAACATCTGCAGGCATTGCACGACACGTGTGCACTTACCTACATGCAGGCAATACACGTACACACACAAAATAATAATAAATAAAATTTTTAAAAAGTTTAAAAAAAGTTGTTTACTTTTAAACAAAATAGTGGAATGTGTCCTTTCAAAAAGAGCCTAATCCTTTTCACAGGAGGATTGATACCAGCTTTAGGTCTCTGTGATCCATATATTCTTTCGTGTTGGAATGAGCCAGTGGTTTGGTAGAAATCAGCAGAGCTGATTTGTTTGAAGCACTTCTATAGCTTCAAGTATCTAGATGATACAGTGAGTGGAGAGCTGGCCAGAGCAGCACTGTGGCTTAGGAGCCATACTCTGAACCTGAATCAGAAGAGTAGCTTCCCTCCCAACCCAACCCATCTAGTATTTTCCTAGAGAGGTATTTATTCGTGATAGATTTTTTTAAATTGAATTGTGTGATTTTCACACAATGTATTTTGATCTTATTTAAATCCCCATCTTCCCTTACCACCCCACCCCACTCAATTTAATGTACTCCATTGTATATGTATTAAAGCCTATAGAGTCTATTTTGTCCTTCAGTCTGGGTCCACACACTGGAGCCTGATTAACCTATCAAGAGTCCCATGCTTGAAAGAGACTGTCTTTGCCCCTCCCAACAGTCATCGGTTGTTAGGCTGTTAGTAGTTCCTCAGGTAGGATTGGGTCTTCTTACCCACTTCCCCACATCTATGCTGGGATTTTGTCTGGTTTGAGCCCGCATGGTACTTGTGCATGATGTCACCATTGCTGTGAGTTCATATATGCAACTTCCCAGTTGTCTGGAAAACTCATGATAGATTTTTTAAAAAATGTGATCATGCCTGATTTTCTCTGCTTGACTAGGAAGGAAATTACAGTGTTCTTAGAGACTATTCTTGTTTCTACTTTGATGCTTTTTGAGGGGAGTAGCAGAAATTAAAAAAAATATTCTTTATATCCCATGAAAACTGATGCAAATGTCCTGCTCACGGGAGTGTTGATCATTTTTGTCCTAATCTAGCTATAAAAGTAGTTTTGCTTATCTCCGCTTCTGGAGGGGATGGGGGAGTAGATTTGATGAAAATGCATTATATGCTTATATGAAATTTTTAAACAATGAAAAAGCACAAATAGTAAATATTACTTATGGTAACTGTATTTCTCATGGTTGATCTTCATTGTCCACTTATAGGATTTAAAATCACCATAGAAACAAACCTTTGGGCATGTCTGAGAGATTTTTCTAAACGATGTTAATTGAGATGGAAGACCCACCTAACTTCTGGGACTGTAGGGAAAGGAGAGAACAGCTGGCACCAGGGTTGTCCCTCTGCCTTCTGACTGTGGTTGCAATGTGACCAGCTGCCTTGACTTCCTGCAGTCATGACTTCTCTGCTGTGATGGCCACACCCTGGAACTGGGAGCCAAAATAAACCCACCCTTCCTTCCTTAGTTGCCTTTGTGAAGCATTTTGTTACAGCAACAGAAAAAGTAATAATTTAATAATATTTTTTAGTAGCAGAAAGGTTTTGCATTTTGCTTTTAGTTTCACAGTCATGTAGTATGTGAGATGCCGAAAACAAATTTCTATACTGTATTTATCTGACTGGTGTTTTTCTTGATTTTAGATCACGTCCTTGAGTTGGACTTTCTTCTCATTGCTTCTGGCAGTGTTCCCACTGATGCCTGTTGTGGGTCGGGAGCCAGATCTCTCGCTAGTGTATGAACAGTATTGTTTTTCCTCTCTAATACAATTGTTTTTCTCTATCAGCACTATGAATTTTAAAATTTATTATTTGTGTGTGTGCGCGCGTGCGCATGTCATATGTACAGGGGCCCAAGAAGGCCAAAAAAGGGTGTCAGATCCCATAGTGCTGGGATCTGAACTTAGGGCCCCTGAAAGAGCATCAAGAGCTCTTAACTGCTAAGCCATCTCTCCAGCCTCAGCACTATGAAATTTTAACCTAATCTTGGTTATTCAAGTAAAATCACATGAACAAACTTGCAGTTAAAATACTAATGTTAAACTAGTAGTTATAACCTTAGCCTGTGATCTGGGAGGCACTGTTTCCCTGGAGATGCTTCCAGACCTTCAGAGACAATGAAATTGTGCCAAGCAAAGATAACCTAAAAATTAACCCCCACACCCATATAGGCTTTCTTTATTTTGCATATCAGAGAATCTGTAAAAATTTTAGTTATATGTGAAACAATGTTTCATTGCCAAAACAAAAAGGAATCTAACTTTGCTTTTGAGTGTATCCATAACAAAATAGCTTCCAAAAATGAAATTTTGTCCTAATTTGAATCCAGAAATTCCAGTGGGAAGAATCTCTGTTAAAATGCTTTTCATTTTGTTTGGTTTCATTTTATTTTGTTTGCAGAACTGAGAATCAAACCCAGTGCCTTGTATATGTTAGGCAAACACTATACTACCTTTTTAGCACAACCTTCCCATATTTAAATATTCAAATTATATGAAAAATTTTTATTATATTTCACCAAACTCCACATTCTAGTGGCATATTTCTCCTCAGCATGACCTAGAAAAATGTTTAAAATTATTGATTACCTCTGCTTTTAAGTTATTATTAAGTAACCTACCAGCTCTCTCTCTCTTTCTCTGTCTCTCTCTTTCTCCCTCTTTCCCTCCTTCTCTCCTTCTTTGTGTGTGTTTGTGTGTCCTTTTGTGTCTGTGTCTGTGGATGCTTGGCTAAATGATCTTTATTTCATTTACCATTTCATTTACTTACTTTTCTTTTGAGCAAGGTCTCTATATGTAGAGCAGGCTAGCCTCAAATTCAGCCTCCATCCTCACCCTCCTGAGTGCTGGGCTCCTTTCTTACTTTTTTTAATCACACAATCACTTTTGCTGCTTTCTTCTGAATGCTTTAAGCATTTTAAAAACATTTTAACCTAACTTTAATAGGAATATATCTCTTTTTAAAATATTTATTACTTTAATTTTATGTTTATGAGTATATTGCCTGCATGTATGTAAGTGTGCCCATGTCATCCAGTGCCTGTGGAGGTCAGAAGAAGGCATTAGATTCCCTGGAACTGGAGTTACAGATGGTTGTTAGCCACCGTGTGGTGGGAATCAAACCTGGGTCCTCTGTAAGAGCAGTCAGTGCTCTTATCACTGAGCCTCAATATATCTTCTTTTTTAATAGTGGGAAGGTTAGTTGGATATTTTTTGTTTTGTCTTTTTTTTTTTTTTTTTCCAGAGCTGAGGACTGAACCCAGGGCCTTGCACTTGCTAGGCAAGTGCTCTACCACAGAGCTAAATCCCCAACCCCAGTTGGATATTTTTTTAAAGTAGGTTTTAATTTAAGAGATTTTTTTTATTTGGATGTTGGTTTACTGGTTTCTCACAACAAAACAAAACCAAAAAAAAAATCCAGTAGTACTAGATCAGGAATTATCTAAGGAAGTCAGTTTATAAGCAGAGCCCAATAATTATACTAAATTATAAGACCGTACTGTCTAGGTGATACTTTTATATTAGAATGTTACTAAGTCAAAACTTTTTGCAACTGTAGTGAACTATACATAGTATGTGAGGAAGCAAATTCAAATGGTTTTTATGTATTTCTTGATGCAGATTATTCCGTGAGCTCTTTTGGTGTTTCTATAAAGTTCTTTCCTTCCTCTTATCAGTCTCTGCTCGTTGGTCCTGCTCAAGCACTATTGACATTGTTAGGCAGAAGTTATATGCCACTTGCATAATCTATTAAAGAGGAATGCAGGAAGCAACTAAACCTGCTAAAATGTGAAAAGGGGGCTGAAGAGATGGCTCAGTGGTTAAGAGCACTGACTGCTGTTGCAAAGGACTCCTGTTTGATTCCTAGCACCTACATAGTAGCTAACAACCAATCATCTGTAACTCCAGTTCCAGGAGAATCTCCTGCCCTCTTCTGGTATTACATGACATGGGTGCACTTCCCTTTATGCAGGAATATACTCATACACATAAAATAAAAGTAATACATTAAAAAAATTTTTTTAAATCCAATTTATATTTTTTTAAAAATGTTTCTAAACTTTAAGTTGTTCATTGATTTTAAATTCATCTTGATTTCCTGTGAGTTTTATTTACAATTTACATTGATTCCTGGTTTATGGAGAAACTTACGTTATCCATTTACTTTCTCACAGCAACCACATCCTTTAAAAGATTACAAAACAGATACATGAAACATTAAAGGATAATATTAGAAGAGAAAGAAAATATGTATGTAACATAACTATAATATTCCTGTTAGCCCAGTATACTAAAACAAAGCCATAGTTGTCAATGAAGTAAAATGTCAATTTTTTAAAAATATTTATTTGTGTGTGTGTGTGAATGTATTACCTGCATGTATGTAAGTGTATCCATGTCATGCAATGTCTGCAGATCAGAAAAGAGCATTGGATTCCCCTGGCACTGGAGTTACAGACTGTTGTTAATTGCCATGTGGGTGCTGGGAATCGAACCTGGGTCCTCTGCCAGAGTAGCCAGTGCTCTTAATCACTGAGCCATCTCTCCAGCCCCCGTCAATTATTTTTTTTAAATAGAAGCCAAGAATTTTTATCATATGGGGGTATTTTTGAGTTTTAATATAATCCGTGTTAAATATACTAATACTTTTTTATGATTCTCAGAGAATATTTGAAGAATCAAAACAAAAGCCAAATGCTTATTGGTTTGTATGCTCTATAGGTATCTAATAATTTCAGTTACATTATTCACATTTTTTGGAAGAGAGAAATCAAGCTCAAAAACAGTACACTATTCCTTGAAGTCAGTTATCTTTGACATCAGGAACCAGTCTGTACCTGGTGTTCCTGAAAAGTATAGCTTGATACTTTATTACTGAGCAAAATGATTGTATAGTAATGTATTCCCCTGCAGGACACCTTTGGGACCACTGTCCTACCTTCCTTTAGTCAGGACAGCTGAGGAAAAGCCAGAGTCAATGACAGAAAGGAGCTGTTTGACTTGATAGAAGTAAAATGGACTACAAATATACATCCTTTTTAATGAATAAGTGATCACAATTGCAAACAATGTTGTATATGGCATTATATTTGTTTGACAACCTTTTTATATTGTCTTCTGTGTATTTGCCCAGTTTAGCTTTAAGAATTATGGCAGTTGACAAATGTAAAAAGCAAAGTTGAATTAGAGAAATAAGGTAAAGAGAGTAAAAGAAATTGTGAAATGTCGTTACAAATAACCTAGTCCCTAGAATGTCTTTATCCTAAGGTATTTCTGATTTCCCGTCATATGTCTGCTCACTCTACTGTTACATATTGACCAAGTGAAATGCTTAAGAGGTTCCACATTAGAGTAAAGCGTCTCATACTTTTATATGCTGTCTTTAGAAAATTCTAAACTGTAAATTATATTTTGAAACAGAATGGGTGCTGGCTTGCTGGTACTCCTGCTCTCCCTGGTTGTTGTAACAACTCTCATAAAAAGAAAAATTACTTTCATAAAGGAAGAGCTACTGGTACATCTGTTACAGGTCAGTTACAGATTTCAGTACTATGCTATACTAATGATACAGTGAAATGAATCTTAATGTTATATACTGTTTTGTGTTCATGCCAGTCAAGAAGATCTGTAAGCTGAGAAGAAAAATTTTTTATTTAAGGTAGCATACATAACGATGTGTGAAGGCATGAAATAACAAAAAAGTCAACAAGAGGCATCCAGAAGATGCCAGGGAGCAGAGGTTGAGATTTGTGAGGCATCTTTACTCACCAAGCATGAGCTGAAAAATGCTTCCTTTGGACTTAGTCTGTGATAACCTCACTTCAGCCAAACTGCCTAGAAGTGGCAGCAGCTGGAAGTGTTTACCCAATAGCAGATGACAACCTCTAAGATAGACTTGAGTTTGATTTGGGGGGAGTATTTTAAAATTAGTCAATTCCCAGATACTCTATTGACTAGATGTACAATTTTCAGTAACAGGACTTCAGTTTTTTTTAACCTATGAGTAAAGAGAAAGAATCTAGTGGGGTTGTGAGAGTTAGGAATTATATAATGTCATATTATATAAAATGATATTTTTGTAAATAAGAGCAAGAAAGCACTTTTTAGTAGCATAGGAAGTCATTTTTTATTTTTAAGCAATATGTTTTCTTTTCTATTTTTTTAATTTGTTTTTATTGAATTTTTTTGTATTTCATACAGAACATCTCAATCAATCTTTATACCCCCATCCTCACTGGCACCCTCCCATAGCTCCCCCACTGGAATTCATACATTCTGTCATTTGTGTTAAGGCCTATTGTGTCAAGTTAGTGTCCCCAGATGTTCCTCAGTGCAAGTTCATCTGCTGAGGTCTACTCAGCTTATCTAGAGTCCTTAGCTTTAGGAAGATCAGCTCTTTCTCACCTACCAGTAATCAGTTGCCAATATTTCTTCAGCTAAGGTTGGAGTCTGCCGTCCATTCCCCAGTTCTATGCTGGGTTTTTGTCTGCTTGACTTTGCATGGAACTTGTGTTTGCTGACACTATTGCTGTAGATTCATATGAGCAGGGTCCTAGGAGCTTGTAGGACTCCTTCTATATGGTTGTACTCCTCCTCCCTGGCTCTTACAATCTTTCTGCCCTGTCTTCCGCCATGCTCCCTGAGCCCTGGGTGGGTTAAGTTTAATATAGGAGTCCTTTCTAAGGACCAGCATTCTACAGACTCTTACTCTCCCTGTTTCGGCCATTTGTGACCTTTTGTGTTCCTAGCCTTCTGTTGCATGAGGGAGCTTCATTAATGAGAACTGAGAGATTAATTAGTGTCTTCTTCTTTACCCCTGTTCTGTGTTCCATGTGCCTTAGGTGTAGAGGTTGCATTGTAGATGTGTCACTTAGGCCTGGACAATTCATAGACAAGGTCTGTGTGTGACCAGTTGTGGTACTTGGTAATAGTCTATGTCTGGTACAAAAGACACTTCTTTGATGAGTTGGTGACTGGGATATTTGTCTGTAAATGTAAGATTATGTATTTTGCACATAGTAAGAAATTATATTAGTCTAGAGATGTGACAGTCTTGGGTTTTTCTCTAAGATCTATAACCTCTCCAGCCATGTGTAGTTATGTTTACAGTACTGCACTTGAGTTTCCTCCTATTGAGTGGGCTTTTAGCCCAATAGATAGCTGTTGATTGCCCCCAAGATAAAATGGCCACTACTGCACCAATGTCGTATGCTGTGCTGGCCATTGATGTGGTTATTTGGTCTTGAAGCTGGTGTTGGACCATCAATTGATGTTTTCCCTTGGCACCTTCATAGTGCTCTCTAAAGCTATGTGAGTTAGCCTTCAGGGGAGGTGTCTTCCAGGTCAGTTCCAGGTCCATTGCTCCAAATCCTGTGTCCAAAGTATATTTTGTCTTCAGCTGGTAGGGTCTTACCTCAAGTTCTGTGAGGTAGTTAAGGGGTGTGGCAATAGCCTGTGTAATCTTGGGACTCTCTTGAACCACGCTGGCCAACAATACAAGGGAAGGTTTCGCCTGTCTGGCACTGTTTCTTGTTATACAGCCTTTAACTATACACATTGGCTCATGTAGGGATATTGTATGAGTAATTTGTCATCAGGTTGTTGGACTAATATGATTCCCTGTGATTTTTTAAAACTACTTAGGCATTATTGATCTCTCCTCTTTCCCTATCTAACCCTTCCACTATGGCTTCCCCATTTAAAGTGTACCCATTTTCCGCATTTCGTCCTTGATAATACTAGTGCCTATGGTCCCACCTCCCTTGAATTTCTTTTATCCCCAAAGTTCCTTGTATAGCCCTCCCTCTCCCCTCCCATTGAAATACCCCCACTTTTATCCATTTCTCCCTTAGCAACACCTGCCTCCTACTCTTCTTCTCCCTTGGGTTCTTTCTTTCCCTTTACTTCCCTGGCTCCTTTTCATTATCCTGGTTCCTGCAGTTATATATGGATACATACTCACATATAAGGATTTGGTGCTAGGATCCACCATAGGATCGCCTATGAAGGAGAACATATGTCGCTTGATTTTCTGAGTCTGTCTTACTTCACTTAGTATAACAGTTTCTACATCCATCTATTTGCCTGCATTATTTTGTCTTTCCTTGCTGCTGCGTAGAAATCCATTGCATAAATGTACATTTTCATTATCCATTCATCAGTTGAGGGACCCCTAGATTGTTTCCATCTCTTAGCTATTTTGAAAAGAACAGCAACAAACATGGATGTACCAGTGTCTCTGCAATAGGATGAGTCCTTTGGGTATATGCCAAGGAGTGGTATAACCAAGTCAAATGGTAGGGTCATTTTTTATTTTTTTAAGAATTCTCCACACTGCTTTCCATAAGGGTTGCATGAGTTTGCAATCCCACTAGCAGTGGATGAGCATTCCCCTTTCCCCTCATCCCTCACCAGCATTTGCTATCATTTGTTCTCTTGATCTTAGCCAATCTGATTGGGATAAGATGAAATCTTAAAGTGGTTTTAATTTGCATTTCCCTAATTACTAACAACGTTGAACACATTTTAAGATGTTTTTTAGTTATCTTTATTTCTTATTTTGAGAACTCTCTGTTCAGATTCTTAGCCCATCTTTTAATTGGGTCACTTGCTTTCTTGATTCTTTGTTTTTTGAGTTCTTTATTAATTCTGGATGTTAAACCTCTGTCAGATGTGTCATTGGTGAAGATTTCCTCCCATTCTGTGGGTTTTCTCTTCACTTCCTTTGCTGTACAGAAGCTTTTTAGTTTAATGAGGTCCCACTTGTTGATTCTTGACCTTAATTCCTGAGCAACCAGTGTCCAGTTTAGAAAATCCTTTCTTATACCTGTATCTTGTAGGTCATTGCCAATGATTTCTTCTAACAGTTTCAGAGTTTCAGGTTTCATATTGAGGTCTTTGATTCATTTGGAGTTGACTTCTGTGCAAGGCGAAAGATAGGGGTTTAGTTTCATTCTTCTACAGGTGGACGTCCATTTTTGCCAGCATCATTTGCTGAAGATGCTATCCTCCCTCCAATGAATGTTCTTGGCCCCTTTGTCAAATATCAGGTGGCTGAAATTGCATGTACTCATGTTTGGGTCTTCAATTATGTTCCATTGACCTACATGTCAACTTTTGTGACAGCACCAAGCTGTTTTTATGACTGTAGCACCGTAATATAGTTCAAAATCTGATACAGTAATCCCTGTAGCATTGCTCTTTGTGCTCAGGGTTGCTTTGGCTATCTAGGGTCTTTTGTGTTTCCATATGAATTTTAGGATTTTTTTCCTAATTCTGTGAAGAGTGTCATGGGAATATTGATTGACATTGCACTGAATCTATAAATGGCTTTTGGTAGGATGGTCATTTTCACAATATTAATTCTTCTAATCCATGAGCACAGGAGGTCCTTCCATCTTCTGGTGTCTTCCTCAATTCTTTCTTAAATATTTAAAATTTTTGTTGTAGAGGTCTTTAATGTCTTTGGTCAGGTTTATTCCAAGATATTTTGGGGGTGGGTATTGTGAATGGGAGAGTTTCCATGTACTCATTCTCCAATTGCTTATTATTGATATGTAGAAAGGCTACTGCTTTTTGTAGATTAACTTTATAACCTACCACTTTACTGAAAGTGTTAATCATTTCTAGGAGTTTTCTGGTGGAATTTTTGGCATCTCTTAGACATGATATTATGTAATCTGCAAAAAGGGATAATTTGACCTCTTCTTTTCCAACTCGTACTCTTTTAATTTCCTTTTCTTATCTTATTGCACTAGCAAGAGTTTCAAGCACTATATTAAAAAGGAGTGGGTATAGTGGACAGCCTTGTCTGTTTCCTGATTTTAATGTGAATGCTTCCAGTTTTCCTCCATTTAGAATGATGTTGGCTGTGGGTTTGTTATATCTAGCTTTATCTATATTGAAGTATGTTCTCTCCAGTCTAGTTCCCTCTAGGACTTAACATGCATGTTGAATTTTGTCAAAGGTCTTCTCTGCACCTATTGAGATGACCATGTACCTTTTGTCTTTGAGTCCATTTATATGGTTTATGATATTTATTGATTTATGAATATTGAACCATCCCTGCATCTCTGGAATAAAGCTGACTTGATCATGGTGGATGATCTTTTTGCTGTGTGTCTGTATGTGGTTTGCAAGTATTTCATTGAGAATTTTCACATCTATGTTCATTGAGCATATGGGGTCTATCGTTTTCTTTTTTGGTTGTGTCTTTACCTGCTTTTGGTATTAGAGTGATGCTTACTTCATAGGAGGAATTTGGAAGTTCTCCTTCTGTTTCTATCTTTTTGAATAATTTAAGCAGTGTTGGGTATAGATCTTTAAATGTCTGGTAGAATTCTGCTGTGAATCCATCTGGGCTTTTTTTTGTTGGTTGGTTTTGTATTACTGATTCAATTTCCTTCTATGTATGGGTCTGTTTAAGCTGTTGATCTCTTCTTGGTTTAGCTTTAGTGATTCGCATGATTTTAGATACACATCCTTTCTTTTAGGTTTTCAAATTTAATAGCATATAGGTTTTTAAAGTAT